GAAAATAACCCTCGTGTGGGGCCAATAAGCTCGTCCATAAATATGGGCCTCTGACGATTCAATTCTTCCCTTTTCCCCTTCCATCCTCCCTTTCATCTACATTTTGAGAAAATAATTATCTTTTTTCTTTCCTTTTGGTTTAAGTCGAGAACCAATCATGTCTTCGATTTCTCCGGTTTTTCCATCTGAACCGGTTCTTGCCAATCATGTACCGGCTTTAGAAAGTGGATTCACTCCATGGGACGACGCATCGGATCTATTCTCAATCTTCGATTCACCGGTTAGTCCCGCGGAAATAAATCCCGGTTTAGAGAAAAAAAACCCATGTCAAATTCAAAACCAAAGCTATTTTAATCCCCGTTTGAAAGACATACCATTGAACCGTACCGGTTCGAACGATGCCTTTTCGGAGAATGACGAGCGGCGAAAGAAACGAAAACTATCAAACCGGGAATCTGCTCGGCGATCGAGGGAGAAGAAACAAAAACACCTGGAAGACATGAGTAGCCAACTTAACCAGCTCAAGATCGAGAACCAGGCACTAGTAAACCAGTTCCGGTACGTTTTGGACCAGTGTCAACGTGCAAAGATGGAAAATGCTCGTCTACGATTGGAACACCATATTCTCCACGAGAAGCTGTTGAACTTACGACAAGCTTTGGTGCTTCGTCAAATCCAACAAAGCTCAACGTGTGCCACGTGGTCGTGTATAAATAGTACCGTTGTAACAGTTCAACAGAATCCATCGATGATAACAAATCACGTAATATGAGATTTCCATAGCATAGTAGTGCGTCGTTTTAGACACAAAAGGAAGAATATATTACATACTACGAGTCTTTAATATTTATTTTGTACATAAGTTTCGAGAAATAAGATAAAATCGTATGGGTTTCTAACCATAGGGAAATCATATATCCTGCTGTTTACAAATGCTTCTCTTCTTATTATGTATGGAGAATAAAATAGTTTTTTGAGTAGTTTGCTGATAAATATTAGTATTTTTGCAATTATCTTTTTGTGAAATTGTTTAATCCTATAATTTTGACGATGAAGGTGGTTCAAATTCAAACACACGGGTGCAAATGGATGTCTCTTTTTATGAATGGAATAGAGCATTCCACTTATTCCACACAAAAATTCAAAGGAAAGTATCTCTCTACAATTTTGATGAGGAATGAGTAAGATAT